TCTCATACACTGTTGGTGGGACTGCAAAATGGTGCAGCCTCTATGGAAAACGGTATGGAGGTTCCTCAAACAATTGCAGACAGATCTACCATATGATCCAGCTATCCCACTGCTGGGAATATACCCAGAGGAATGGAAATCATCAAGTCAAAGGTATACCTGTTCCCCAATGTTCATCGTAGCACTCTTTACAATAGCTAAGAGTTGGAACCAGCCCAAATGTCCATCATTAGATGAGTGGATATGGAAAATGTGGTATATCTATACAATGGAATACTATTCTGCTATAAAATAGAATGAAATACTGCCATTTGCAACAACATGGATGGACCTAGAGAGAATTATATTAAGTGAAACAAGTCAGGCACAGAAAGAAAATTATCACATGTTCTCACTTATTTGGGGGAGCTAAAAATAAATAAATACACAAATAAACTGTGGTGGGGAGGGAAGAAGACACAATTACAATTCCTTGAAGTTGATACGACAAGTGAACAGAAAGGAGGTTGTTGGGAGGGATGGGGAGAGGGAGGAGGGAGGGAGGTTTCGGTAATGGGCCACAATAATCAGCCACATTGTATATTGACAGAATACAATAAAATTTAAAAAAAAAAAAAAAAAAGAGCCTGCAAATCAGAGGTGGGGAAACTTGAAGTATTCGTAACACTAAGAGCCATTCATATCCCTCACAAGAATCAAAGGTTTGGGGAGGATTTCTCTACCTAAGTGGCTAAAATATCTTTTGGAGATGTAAGAAATGGAAAAGGAGGAGTATGGAAAAGGAAGAAGGAAGTCTACTGTGGAAACCAACGAAAGAATTCAGGGAAACCGGTCATCCATTACTTGCTGCTTTTAGAACAGGGCCCAACAGAGAAAGCTGCACCGTCCCCTGGTCAGAGAAGGTCCCCGTGGGAGCCAGAGAAACAGGGAACTTCCGTTTTGTCAAAGCACCAGCTGCAGGAACTGCAGCTGTTTCACACAGAAGCCAGGGCGGAACCATCTTCTGTCTCCTGCAGGGTAAACCATTGGCTATTTTTCTTCTTTTTTTTTTTTTTTTTGGTTTGTTTTTTTTTTTTTTTTTTTTTTTTTTTTTGGTTTGTTTTTTATTTTATTTTTAACAGAAGGAAATGGGTAGTGCTTATAAAGCACATTCTATCCCAAAAGCCAAGCAAAAGTCCTTCAGTGGTAAGCAGCCTGAAGGATTCACAGAGGACCCAGCTCACCCTGCAACAGGCCCTCATCTATAAACAAGAGCTGTGTTCTCACCGTCTCTCGCAGGATGCCATGCTAGGAATACAAATCAAAACAACATACAAGGTCTGTCTTAATGAAGAATGAAAACATTGATCCTGCAGATTCTTAGCTATTAGTCTGGTAAGTGTGTAAATATAAGAAATGAGCCACCAGTTTAAGCATATGACACTTTACCTAGAATTCCAGCACTGCATCAGGTCACTATCACCACCTAGCAGTTTGGTGAGTGTTGTCGTTCCTGCACAAGAAATGGAAAGCCCAGAAGAGAAAAATACTCCTTTTTTGGGCCAGCATTCTAAGACCTAAGGATACCCATGAGGCCTCAGAAAAAGCAAAAGTGAATGTCCAGCAAGAGGGGACTTGTGCTCAGTATCTTGAAATCAAGCCCCAGAAAAAAGTTCACTTTAACTGAAAACAACAGTATCTGAGAGGCCAAGTGAGCCAAAACTTCAGCTGTCGATCCACTGCTAGGCAGGCACATCCCTCCTCACTTGAGGGAAGCCAACCCCCCAAACTGTGTCTCTTTTCCAAACACTGTGCTCATAATGGGACTAAATCAAAGGACCAAGTATTTTTTCATTTTATCTTTTCCTTTCTTTCTTTTTTTTTTTTTTTTTTTTTTTGAAAAAAAAGTCTTTTCCCTTTTGCAGCAGGGCAGCTCAGGTGAAAGCGTGGTCACTGCCTGCAGGTGTCCCTGGGTGGTGGGAGGAAGGGCTGCTACACGGGTGCTGCCAAACCTTCTGGTCAGCCTATCAGGGAACCTACTAGATTAGAATTCACACAGCAATGAAACGTCTAAAATAATTCCAAGGACTGACATGGTTGCTGACGTTTAGATTTACCAAGAAGGGCACTTTACAAACTATCACCTGCCAAGCACCAGCTTAACATAAAGTCCATCTTACACAGAAATGCAGAAAGGATGATCTTAGAACAAACACCAGTCCTTTAAATCAAATACATTTAGCTTTATGAAATACCACTTATGCCTTCTTTTTCTCATCATAAAAACACCATGACTTAGCACTGGCCTAGTCGCCCACCCAAAACAGAAATTCTTCTTATTATTATAGTTTCCCCATCAGCAGTCACCTCTCCATGCAGAAAATGGTGGAACATGAAAAGGATACAAAAGCACCAATGATGAAAACGGGGCTGAAAACATGCTTCTGGAAGGTAAACAGCGCCAGGCCCATGTAGGAGAAGATGAAGTTCTCTGCCAGGAAGTGTAACACCTCAAAGAGCTGCGTGGAGAAGGAAAAAGGAAGCTGTCAATCCTGCAGCGCCCCTTCCTTGGATTAACAGGCAACACATGAGTCCCAAGGCTCTCTCACCTGCTTGGTTCGACTTCTTGATTCTACCGACAGGTTGTTGTAGGTGTAATGAGCTTGTGTGATTCCACAGAAAAGGACAGCTACAACACCTGTCAAGAGTTTAAAAAGAAACCAATGGAAAAGATAGAGGCAGGAAAAAAACTCTGCTGAAACAAAAAGTTAAGGTAGGCAAGCCCACCATATCTGACTTCCTGCATATTTTTGAAAGTTTCCTACGACTGAAAGCTCTCCCTGCCCCTCACCACTCATTATCTAACTTTCTGTATCCCAACCCTGCCTTCCTTCAATGCCAAGTCCTCCAACTTCCCCTCCTGCTACAGTTTTAAGGGCATTCTCTCCCCTCTTCTAAGCTCCTATTGAATTCACCATTGGTAGTTGGCATATAGCATTCATTCCCTCAATGAGACTTTGAGGGCCCATCACACACTTTTGTCATATTCCTCTCTCTTTAGAATGAATGAATTTAGTTTCAGAACAATGCTTTTGATATTTTTGCACAGTCTAGGGGCTTCAGACAAAATAGACCCAGAGAACTATTCCATTTATTCAAGCCTTGATGATTTAGATTTCTGGTTAATAGTAACCACTGTGTTGTGCAAGATAATTAATATACCTGGGATTCTGCCTATACATGTACAGATAACTGGCAAGTTTGAAGGAAGTGGGACATTTTGTAATGCCACACATAAAGATATGTTGCAGTATTTCGAAAAGATGATAAAAGGATCTGACTACCTAGATTATGTATAGTAATTGTACCTGAGTTTTCTAATGGAAAAATTCAGTGATTTATTTTTTAAATGAAAGAATGTGAGAAACTAAAACCACATGATTAACCACACTAATATTATATGCAGCTAGCACCATAAAAACATGGTCTTGAAAACAATGATAAATAGCCCAGAGAAAAAATGATGAAAAACTGTGTTCACACTCATCTGAGTAGATGCAAAAAATTACCTTTAAAGGGACACGTATGTTGCTTGTTGTTGCTATTGTTTGTAAAATAACATAGCAATCTAGGGGAGGATACAAGTAAGATTTCAATATGTTCAGTAACCTCTGCAACTAAACATCTACTTAGAGTATTCAAAAAAAATGACTGAGTTCACAATAATAAATTTTGTCCTTGAAAAATGTGTCGTTCTAGGAAGCTAAATGATTCATTAAGACAGAACACTAGCCTTGCCCAGCAATCCTCCACATGGACGCTCATTGATCAGTTCAACTCCACACAGCCGCTATCTAAGACTCCTTCCCTCCCCTCAAGCTCCCACTGCCCAGCTGCAGTGAGGGGAAGTGGGGCCCAAGAGTAGAGAGAACCCACCTGTAAATCCACAGGCTTCTGCCAAGAGGAACGTGCTCCAGGACATGAGGAAGAAGAGTGCCGTCTCCAGCAGGGGGAAGCAGTGCAGCTTGGTAAACTTGGTCACGTGGCACCCTGTCAAGGAGTGCTTCTCCAGGTATGTGTCTCAGGGGCACCAAGAACCAATGTGGGTTATAGCTACCAACATTTACTCTGGCAGCCCAGGACCCTCCCTAAGGGCTAAGCCTTTCCTTTCAACTCTTTTGGGGCCCTGAAGCTGCTGCATATTTTTTAAGTAATAAAAATTCAGCTTTCCAGTAGAACAGAGGTTACCAGGCACTGGGGAGAGAGGGGAATGGGGTGATATTGTTTACGGGTGCAGAGCTTCTGTATGGGATGAGAAGAAAGCTCTGGAAATAGATAGTGGGGATGGTTATACAACATTTGTTGATGTACTTAATACCCCTGAATTGTATATTTAAAAAATAGTTAAATGGGAAATTTTGTTATGTTTTGTCACAATTTAAAAAACTAATAATGTAATATACCAACCATTGAATTGTGTACTTTAAATGGGTGACTAGTGCAGTATGTGAATTATATCTCAATAAAGCTACTTTTAAAAAATTCAGCTTTCTAAAGAAACTGGCAACTGGTTTTCTGTGCTCCTTGCAATGCCCAAGGTTCTGAGAGGTGCAGTCATGGCCTCAGGCTTGACCAGAGGGTTAGTTCTGGCAGGCCTGGCAGTCCCTTGGGCAGGGCTAAGAAGACAAGACCCTGAGACTCTGACCCCCATGGGTCAATAAGGCCTGAGTCCACAGCGGGTGCCTAATGAAGGCATGGGAAGGGAAAGAAAGAAAGAAACGCACAAGTCCCAGGGCAGCTACCAGGTGCTGGTGTCACTTTTTTGGGACCAGAGATCCCTCTTCTAACACCACCATTTGACACAGGGACAGTAGAGAACCATCTCACGTGTTTTCACAGAGCAATACAAATCCCCCGGGGCATCAAAAGGGCCTCTGTGAAGAAAATGATCTAAACCCGCGCCGTCCAGTACGGCAGCTGCTAGCCACATATGGCCACTGAACACTTACGAGGTGGCCAGGCCCAATTGAGATGTGCTGTATGAGCAAAACATGCACCATATGTCAAACACTAAGCACAAAAATAGAATGTGCCAAATCTCATTAACTTTATAATAATTTCCGATAGCCTTTTTCATACTGATTGCACGTTGAAATGATGTGGCTACGAGCCATCTGTTACGTTACATCTGTAACGCCCACCAAAGAAGAGATCAGGAAGAAGTCAGCATGGCTGTGGGGGGTTGCCTGCTCTTTCCACACTTTGCTTTTTGGTTTGTTTGTTTGTTTGTTTTAAACTAAACATTGCACTGTCCTTCACTTACTAAAGGCCACCATGCAGCATTTCCCACTGATGGCCTCCACCAGTCATGGCCACATTAACAGTCTGGCCCTGAACAGCAGACAGCAGCAGCTACCTGGGGCTAAAGTGCTTCTCAGCTGGTGGTCCCTGATTCCCAGCCTCCTCCTGGCCCATTTCACCCGCCTAAAACTCATGTTCCAACTGGTCCAGCCGAAAGGGAGAGAAAAAGCAAAGGGGAGGACAGAGTGAAGTCGAAAATTGCACTCCCAGACATTTTCTTAGACTCTCAGCTAGGGACCCAACTGTCATGCTTCACCAAAGGGATACATTTCAGGAGCCACCACACCCCAGTGGAACAATCGAGATAAGGTTCTGATCTGAAAGTAAGAACTGAGAACTTCCTTTTTGAAGGTGTAATGCCACATACATACACCCTGGCAGGTGCAGAAGCTACCAAAGGATATTAGAGCAGTCACAACACCAGTCACAGCTCCCATGGTGAAAGAGCCACTAAATATACCTAGAAAAATGCCGACTGACTTAAAAAAGGCAGCAGCATCAAAGGCGTGTGTGTTCAGCCCTGCTGGCTGGTAGGCAACGATAGACCTGGAGTTTAAAAAGAGGAGAGAGTTAAAAAGACTGCACTGTTTTTACACCACGGTACCTAAAAATATCAACATAGGTATCTACACTCTGCCAAGCACTGCCCAGGGTAAATTCATTTAATTCAATCTGTAGCCACCATGTTATGCTGGCATCAGCATTTTGATTGCTACTGAGCAGACAAAGCAACACCACTTTATCAACAAAGCTGATAAATCTCATTTAGAAAAATGCCCAGTTCAATATTTAACACTTTTAAGATGGGCCTCTGAATTTAGCCCAAAGCAAACAGGAAACCAGGGTCTCTCTTCCCTGCTACTTACGAGGACAGTACAATGGCAACGGCATCATTTAGGACGCTCTCTCCAAACAGAAGTGCGTAAAGATCCACATCTGCATGCAATTCATTAAATATCGCCAGCACAGTCACTGAAAAGTGGGCCAAAAGCACAGAAATTAGTTTCGGTTTCTGACCTCAAGCCACTGATTACAGATTTACAGAGACAATTCCTACTTTAGGTGGAACCAGATGGGACGGGAGTCAAAGATGAACTGCCTGTCTATGGCAGAAGTGAAAATGGCAATCTTCCTAACCTGAATGAGGTTCGACATGATGCTTAAGTCTAACGAGACTGCACACAAACACCATGCTTTCCACTGTAATCCCACCGAACCTTGAAAATACCTGCTATAGAACTTTAAGAATCGCAATCAATGTGATTTGTTCCAATGGTGGGTTGAAATCTCTTTGAAGGCAGAAACCCTGTTGTATTGACCACTGTGCTCCCAGAGTCCAGCATAGGGTCAGGCACAGAGAACACTTTAATAAAGGTTTGTGAAATAATGAGTCTTCATTTATGACAGGCTATACACAATTACACAGCTCATAGTTTTCACATTTCCTAGGCATTTAAAAATCAGCTCTTCTCCACGTCAGAAGTTCTCAAACTTTTAGCCTCAGAACTCTACATTCTTTACAAATTACTGAGGCACCCAAAGACCCTCAGTTTTGTGGGTTATAGCTACCAACATGTACTATATTGAATAAAACAGAAAAAAAATCATTTAAGACTAATAATAACCCATCATATGTTAACACATTTTTATTTATTTATTTTATTTTATTATTATTATTATTTTTTTACATATGTATGGGAACTTTGTATTTGGCAGAGATGGCATATACATCAGTAGGGAAGGGATTCCATAAACAGCACTGATTATCCATAAATGAGAAATAAAATTATAACACTCTATGTATGATATCTGAAAGTAAATTCTAGATGAAAAAAAAAATCTAAATATAAGTAGCAAGATTTTAAAACTTTGAAAAGAAAATATGAGACTAACATTATGACCTTGGGGCTGGGAAGGGTTTATTACAATACAAAGAAAAAAAATTTTTAAAAACACGTTTGCCTACTATAAGATAAAACTATGTTTATCAAAAGACCATTCCCCTACCCCTCCAAAACAAAGTTTTAAGACAAGCAATTGATTAGGAAGATATTTACAATGCCAATAATGATGAAAGGTTAGCATTCAGAATATATTGAGGACTAAATCATCACATAAAAGATAAAATTCAGCATTAAAAAAGAGCAAATGATTTTAATAAGCAATTCACAGAATTGAAATCCTGAATGAATGGGCAATGAAATGGGAAAACATGCTATTAATACTAAGAAAAATGGGAATTAAAACAAGTATGCAAAACATTTTATATATGTCAGATCGGCAAGAATTAAAACGTCTGACAATACTAAGTTATTTTCACAATATGTGAAAATGGAAATTATAAATTTCTGATGGTGGAAGTATAAATTAGTAACACTGCTTTGGAGGAAAATTTGGCAATATCTAATAGAATTGAAGATTATGTTAATTAATAGTTTTCTGTTTCCAGGCATCCAACTGGAAACAGAAAACTATTAATCAGTTTGTATAATTAATAAGCTGAATAATTTAAAACAATAACAAATAAAAATAACTTATTTGTATGCAGCTAAGCCAATGCATGTATATATGGATGTAGATATCTAAAATGAATTCATTTATTTTGTAGCCAATGTGTTAACACATTTTTAATGAAAAATAATTATATTTTCCAAAAAAAGAGTGAAAAGACAGCCGTTGTTTTACATTTTGCAAATCTCTTAAAACATCTGGATTAGTGGAAGGCAGATGGTTCTCATCTGTTTCTGTATATGAGCAACAGATAGTCAATATCATATGTTGTGCAGTCTCTGGCAAACTCCACTGTACACTTATGACAGAATGAAAGTAAAAAAGAGAAATAATATATTACTGTTATTATTAAATCAGTTTTGATTTGATGAACCCCTTGAAAGGATTTTTGGGGGTTCCCCAAGGGTCCCCAGACGATACCTTGAGAACCACTTTTCTAAAGCAGCGTTTCTCAACCTTGGTTCTATTGACATTTGGGGCCAGATAACCTGTTTGTTGTAGAGGACTGTCCTGTGCATCTCGGGATGTTTAGCAGCATCCCTGGCCTCTACACACCAGATGCCAATAGCACCACCCGCTCAACTGGGACAACCAAAATGTCTCCAGACACTGTCAAATGGTCCTTGGGGGCTGATATCACCCCCAGTGAGAACTGCTGCTCCAGATACATACATACAGCAGCGTTCCCTCTCAATATTCACACCCAACTACCTTCTCCCTCGTTGGTTTTACCACAGGACTTCAAAAGCTAAAAACTCCCTTCTCCAGCTTCCCTTGCAGAGAGTGCCACCTCTTCCTGTCTGGAAGAGGGCAGGGAGGCCAGATGCATATAGTCATCTTGCCTCCAAGGGGCACTGACGTGTGACGAACCCATGGGTAGTGCAGTAGAAAGATCAAGTGCCTGGATGCCTGATTGTAACAGAAGCCCTGGCACCAGCCTGGGCCTGGCACCCAACATAAACACCTATTTGTTTAAGCTGGTTATTAGCCAGGTTTTTCTGTTGTTTGCACCTAAAAGCAGTACTAACAGATATGATTAGGAAACCGAACAAATGCTCAGTTTAGTGAGTTAAAGCCAAACACTCTTGTTACCACCACCCAAGTCAAATAATGGAACTTGGCCAGCCCGCCCCAATATGTCCCATCCCAATCTCAAACCCCTTCCTTCACTCAAAAGGAACCACTCACCCGAATTTTATAGTAATCACTTCCTTCCTTTTCCTTATACTGTATTTTAATTATCCAAATGCACATTCCTTGGTTGTCTGGTTTTGCCCATTTGTTAAAAATGTACTTTTTCACATCATCTCTTTTACTCTTTACGCTCACCCTCCATTCCTTTCTGTGATCTCTTTTCTCATAAGGCCCTATTGTTTAGTTCTCCTATTTCTGAATTTTCCAATCCTGATGCATACGATTCTTTCATAAAATCTATCATTTTCTTAATTTCCTTTAGATTCTTCTGGAATGTTAATAAAGTTTTGCCTTTTGGGGGCCCTATTTTTCTGGTAAGACTTCATTATCTGCAGCCTTATCACTCACAGTGGTTATCCTCATGTTTTTCTTACACTATGTTTGCACAAAGTTCAATGTTAATCCATTTCTGTTGCTCAAGGTGAAGTGAGGTGGAAGGGGTAGAAGTGGGCCCAGAAGAGCTATCTTAGTTTCATGGCTCTAGGGCTCCCTCTGCTGGTTTTACATTTAACTATTAAAAATACGTCCTCTGGATATAGCCACCTCCCCACTACTTCCTGAGATTCACTGCCTCTGGCCCTTCCTCCATTAGAATGAGCTTTCTTGTTCTTTTAACACCCTGTCAATCAGGATTCTCAGTCCCAGCAGTTCCTCTTTAGGAAGTGATTCTGTCCTTCCAGAGAGATCTTTCCTGTGTATTTCCGGGAGCCTGGGCTACCCACGTCACCCCTGCGGCCTCTAACCTCCTCGAGTCTCCTTGCACTCACCCACAAATTGAAGCCTTGTAAAGCCCCCTCCCAGTTTTAACTGTTATCAGATGTGTCCACAAAATTCTTTATTCCCAGTGAGGATCCCTCCTTTTGAGTGTAAATACTTGTGAAAAATTTTGGGGTTCCCTGACAGTCAAAATGATCAGCAGCCTGCCCCCCCTTGCACAGCTATTCCCATTCCCAAGTCTTACTGCTGCTGGGGCTTACTCAATCAGCTAGTTTTGTCCCTGTGTTTTTTCTTTTGCTGTCTTGCTTTCTCTATTTTTGTTAGGGATTAAGGGAGATTTCAAAATGACACTGCTCCCATCGTGGCTTCCTTTTCAAAAAGTTCAATTCATTTATTGAGAGTAAGTGAAAAAGAATATGGACTTGAAAAATGTCTACTATATCATGAGGCTGTGCCAGGTTATTATACATCAAGGGGCCAAAATCACTACTTGACACATTCAGACACTAACCAGACATCCACAGGGTGCATGCCATCAGCTGTAGTCCTTAAAGAACACGTCAGTTTCACAGTACAGATATTAACGCAAGATGCAAATCAACCTTTTTCCTTCACCCTTAAATACAGCTTAGCAGGTTATAGCACAGGAGAGAATCTTTAGCGATTAGGCAAAAAAAAAAGATTATTTTCTGGATTATTTATTACATGAACAATATTTGTGACTCCTTACATAAAACTTTTGCTCTAGTAATTTACCATTATGTGACATAAGAATTGTCTTGTTTTTAGCCCAATGTTGAAGAAAAACTAATGATGACCACAATAGTTGAGGACTTACCATAAAGCAGGTGCTACACTAAGGATTTTACAATCTCATTCAGTCCTCATAAAACCCTATTAAGTACGTAGCACTATTCCCTCAATTTAGATATGAAAAAACAGGCCCTATATGATGGGCTGTTTTATGCAGCAGCATCAAAATTCCCAAAATTTCAGCGGTTGAACACAAGAGAAGTTTCATTCCTCACTCATTTAATCTGTCCTCTGTGGGTCAGCACAGGCCTAGGCCTCTGTTTATGACAGTCCCTCAAGACTCAGAGACTCGAGCCTGATGGAGGATAATTTCATTGAACAGAGCCCAGGAGACTGGGTTCCTGGGACTCTATCAGTCAGGGTCCTGGCAGGAAACACATGGCACCCTCAAATTGAGCAATGTGAGGACAGTTTATAATAAAAAAGGTTATTTACAAAAGTGTGGGCAGAGTATAGGGAAATCACAAGGGATAAAGCAGTACTTGAGGCTGGAAACAGGGAGCCCTTGGCCTGAAGGCTCTGGGAGAAGGGGTGATTACCAGAACCTGGAGGTGTATGGAGAAAGTCGCCTGACAGAAGCTATGACCTCTGATCAAGGGACACAGCCAACTGCAGGGTCCCTGCATCCCCGTCCTCTTCCCAGTCCCCCACTGCTGTTTCCCCCATGGACAAATCCAATGGGAAACCAAACAGCAAAGGAACCTTTGACTTATTCCATGCACGTTAGCCTCCTGGGGTAGAGAGGAGGTGGAAAAGGGGGTGAGTAAATCTGGAGGGGCCAACAGAAGACATTCAACATAGCCACCAACTGGCTAGGAGAGCTCGGCACAAGGCAAAGTCTAGGGGTTAGTACAGTGAGGGTTTGGGCTACGTGACTTCCAAAAGCCCTTCTGAGTTTTAAACATGGGTTTCCTAAAATACTATAGTTACCAATAGTAAAAATAACACCTAGTTAATTCATTTATCCCTGACAATAAAGGCATGATTAACAACAGTAACAACGAACACTTCCAAAGCACTGGTCTGAATTTCAGCTTCTCATTCTCCCTACCTACCACTGTAGGTAGAACATGTAAGGAACTCTGCTGTGCCCCTCCTGAGCAACTCTGCGCCTGACTGCAATGAGGGATGTGGGTGCTGACAACCGGAGGACAGTGGGGTGGGGATGACAGACTGGGCAAGTGGCTTCTAAAGGGAGAGATGAAACAGACTGTTCCCCACGCCCCCCCGCCGGCCACCCAACACACACACACAGCAGGACCCTCGAAATCAGAGAGCAGGACCACAACAGCTGTTTCCAATTGGATACGGACTGAGAAATAACAATGAACTGACTGAAGGCCATTGGTGCAGGTATTTAAAAGGCAGTGGGAAAAATCAAAGAATGGAAGAAAAAGGAGGGAGGAAAAATCAAGAACCTGAATAGGCTCATTCAACCTTTCCTGAACGCTTCATCTGTGTACTAAAGAGCACTTAGCTCTTGCGAGCACTCAGTACAAAGCAAGTATCGTTATGTACAAAACAGACTTAGCTCAAAGAGCTGTGGGAGCAGGTAATGAAGGAGTCTGGGAAGAATGACTAAGCAGGTGGCATATCTGAACCAAGTCTCAAAGAATGAGCCAAAGACTAACCAGCCCAGGGGATGCACTGGAGAATTAACTTTGGACAACACAGATCACAGATTTAGAAACCAAGTAAGGCTGACTGACTCCAGGGGTATAAAAGTGACAGAATAACAATGGTTCACAGGAAGGAATAGCATTCGCTTTCTCTGGTATCTGCCTTGGAAGGCACTATGGGGTAGAAACTTACATTTCTTTCTTTAACTGTGGATCCATCTACAGGCACCCGTGACATGTATCCGCAGAATGGAGAGGCCTCTGGGTCACAAAGCAGCCTACACTACCCCACACGTACTGTGTCACCTTCACTGAGAAGATCAAAGACTGGCGTCTCAAGCCACATACAGCAATCAGGGACAAGGATCTCATTCTTTCTTACCAGTCAGTACCACTCCACATCCCAGAGCCAGAATTTTTGTCTGATGCACCAGGCACTAGAAGTCAATCTGGTCTTGTGGTACCCTTTAACTCTGTACTTAAGTTTTTATGGGTCTTTTATGACCCAAGTTTTCAAACAACAGATTTTTAGGAGACTGGTAAAACACTAATTCTACATTTCAGAAAGATTTCCATTAAAAAAGCAGCTAAAGTTAATGACCTGAGGTTTAATAAGTTTAAACTTTCAATTTTCTAGAACTTTCATTTATAGAAAACTCTTACTGTGACAATCTTCACAGGTCAAATAAAAATGGTGTTGAATGGTAATGTCTTCCACTATTTTCTGCCATAGCATAGACACATTAAAGGGAAGTAAACAATTACGAAGATAATCTGGAAAAGCAGGTGCTTCTATCTAACTAAATAAAGCAACACTAATAGCCCAGAAAACAATATCAATAATCTTTATGTTACACTAACCTCCTTTTACTTGGTAGTAGTACTAGTAAGAAGTTAGTAATAAAGTTATAGATGAGTGCAGTTAGTAATATATTTTCAGACAGACTGAAAACCATTTTCAGACTTATAAAGAATCTATTTTTCTTTTTTTTTTTTTGTCTTTTTTTGTCTTTTTCCGTGTCCGGCAATGGATCGCAACCCTCAGTGTTGCCCCCGTACCGGACCGGGGACCGGCAATGGGATCGCAACCCTCGGTGTTGCTCCCGCGCCTCGCTCAGCCAGTGAGCGGGAACCGGTCTGTATGTGGGATCCGAACCCTCGGGCGGGAGCGCCGCCGCGCTTCCCAAGCGGCGCACTTATCCAGTGCGCCACCGGGCCGGCCCCAAAGAATCTATTTTTCAATAGACACACATCCAGAGATAGCACAGACTGTATAGTATTAAAATAATACAGCTGCTTTTCAGAGTGCTCTTTAGAAACATGATTGGGTTAAGTGTTGATCTTTTATTTATTTATTTTTAAATGAAGAAAAAAGGGAAATCTCTGCCGAAGTCAGATGTGGATAGAGACCAACATAATTAGCAGATACTATGCTCAGTGCTTTACATGTGCTGTTTCATTTAATCTTCATAATAGCCGTAGGAAATAGGTACCATTATTCCTACTTTATAGCTGAGGAAACTCATGGGAGGGGATAAAGTGTGCCTAGGCCACCTGATTGGTGACTGGCAGGGCTAGAACTCAACTAGAGGCTGGAGACTCCACATCCCACCTCCTCTTCACCAACCAGGGTACCTCAATCACCCGTCTTCAATACTAATTTATTTAGGGTGTTTGTAATAAAACACGGGGATAAGAGAAGTCAATGTTTTCTGGAACACTGAGATTCTTCAGAACCACACAACTGTCTAGAGCTGTACTGCCCAATGTAGTAGCCACTAGCTATATGTGACTATTTAGTTTAAATTACTTAACATTAAACAAAAATTTTAAATCAGTTGTTCAGTTGTGCTATCCCACATTCTCAAGTGCTCAACAGTCACATGTTACTACTGGCTATCACAATGGACTGGGCAAATTACAGAACATTTCTGACTTCGCAGAAAGATCTGTAGGATAGTGCTGATCTAGAGGACCTCCAGGAGACGTGGCCAAGTGGGAAATCTTAGTATCTTTAAGGTTATTGCTGTCTAGAATGTTAGAGGGCATTGTAGACACTGAGAAGACGTTTCCATCTCCACTGTTAGGACAGGACCAGCTCTTTCTCCATAAATTCTTTGCCTAAGATGTATTCTCAATAATTGACATTAGAGAAAGGAATAGCTATGCTTAATGCAAACTGATTTAATTATAGGTTGCAACTTGAAGAGAACTTTTTTGTTTGTTTTTGAGCTGCAGGGGAGGAGGGGAATGTAATAATTCCACTTGTAAGAATTGGTTAGACACTTGAAAAATAAGAGATTTATGAATAGGAAACCACATCATGGTGTGCAGTCACACAGGAACATTGCACAAAAGGAGTTTACAAATTAAATTACATTCACTACAGGTACTTATGTATATTTCCACTAAGAAAGGGTAATTATTTAAACCAAATGATATGTTTCCTAAAAGAAGGCAAAAAGCACAACACAAAGAAAGAAAACTGTCTAAGTATAAAACTTATGACCAAATTAGTCATTCTAAAATGAAAGGCAAAAGAGAAATACAGGTGGAAGCAACCCACGCATCCATCGACTAATGAATGGATAAACAAAATGTGGTTTATACATACAGTGGAATACTATTCAGCCTTAAAAGGAAGGGAATTATGACATGACACATGCTGCAATATATGGATGAACCATGAAGACATGAAGCTAAGTGATATAAGCCAGTCACAAAAGGACAAATACTATATGATTCCATTTATATGAGGTACCCAGAGTAGTCAAGTTCATAGAGATAGAAAGTAGAAGGTGCAGAGATTCAGTTTTGCAAGAGGAAAAAGTTCTAGGGATTGGTTGCACAATAATGTGAATATACTTAATACTATATAACTGTACACTGAGAAATGGTTAAGATGGCAAATTTTATGTTGTTCATTTTTTACCATAGTAAAAAGAGCCATGCATGCCATTCTTAGAAAAGCCATCTAAGTCTATTAGACTCACCTACTGATCACTTTCCCCACCATTCCTTGTTAATATTACAGCCTTCCTACTGCAACAAAAGTTAATAATTGCTCTGAACTTTTTAAGGTCTAAACTATGGAGTATCATAACAAAAAAGCCAAATATACAAATACCTGGGTCAGTGGCAGAGATAATTGCTCCAAAAAAGAGACAATCCGTGTAGTAAAATTTATCCGAGAGCTGTCCCACAACCTTCATGAGCTTCACCACGCCATACATGAGATTTCTGTAAGACAGTAAGGTAAACTATGTCAGGAGAAAAAAATTTTGAGTAACCAGCAAACATGCAAGTAGAGTAGTACTAGAATAGTGTGCGTTAGGGGCGATTTATGGAACAACAGACAGCTGCTATGGTTGGACACTTACCAGGAACATGGGTGAGTAGGACTTCAGCACCAAGTAATGGTCTGCAGTTAGTATCATCTTGCTGAAACATCTGAACATTTTATTTTTAAAAGTTGTGCTCATTAACAACTACAGCAGCTATGAAGTATAATCTTTTATTAGTAACAAAGTCAAGGAATCTTAAGCAACCAGGTGAAGGAGGGGAAGGAAAGAGATAGAACCCAAAAAACATGTAACAAATTGCCACAAAACTCACAGGATTTTAAGACAGTGCATTTAAAGTCATAGAAATGAGTGGACTGGATGATGGTGGAGAGAAAAAAATGGGTTGGTCACAAAAATTCAAGTGATTGACCTATTGTTGCCTTCTTTGCCAAGAATTATTCCAAAGAAGTGGAAAGAAGCAAACCTCTCTAAATGTCCTATTAGAACATCACTGTACCCAGCAACGTATCTGGCCTCTCACTCTTTGCAGGCCAGCAGTTGCCCTCCTTGTGCTGTGCAGAATGTGACATGGTCCAAGACGGACCACCAAGTTAAGTTTTTCATCCTGGCCAGAGCACATTTCCTACAGGACAGCCTACAAATTGGGAGGAATGAGGAGTGTTAAAAGGCCTAGTATGGGCCGGCCCGGTGGCGCACTGGAGAGTGTGCCGCTTGAGAGCGCGGCGACGCTTCCCGCTGAGGGTTCGGATCCCATGTGGAGACCGGTTCCCGCTCACTGGCTGAGCGCGGTGCAGGAGCAACACTGAGGGTTGCGATCCCGTTGCCGGTCCCCGGTACGGGCGCGACACCGAAGGTTGCGATCCCGTTACCGGTCAGTAAAAAAGACAAAAAGGAAAAAAAAAAAAAGGCCTAGTATGAGTCACAAGGGTGTGTGTATCTGTGTAGTGGCAGCAGCTGCAGGGATTAGGGGGTAAAAATAACCATGGAACTGACTCACTGTACCCTACAGCCAACACTCTAATAATGACATTCTTGATCATAAGGAGCATGTCATTGCCCGCCTTTGTGTCCGAGAGCGCGGCGACGCTTCCCGCCGAGGGTTCGGATCCCATGTGGAGACCGGTTCCCGCTCACTGGCTGAGCGCGGTGCAGGAGCAACACTGAGGGTTGCGATCCCGTTGCCGGTCCCCGGTACGGGCGCGACACCGAAGGTTGCGATCCCGTTACCGGTCAGTAAAAAAGACAAAAAGGAAAAAAAAAAAAAGGCCTAGTATGAGTCACAAGGGTGTGTGTATCTGTGTAGTGGCAGCAGCTGCAGGGATTAGGGGGTAAAAATAACCATGGAACTGACTCACTGTACCCTACAGCCAACACTCTAATAATGACATTCTTGATCATAAGGAGCATGTCATTGCCCGCCTTTGTGTCCTGGATGTCTAGAACAGTGGACTGGCTAAGCCAGCAGCAAAAGAACCATTTGCAGAATGCAATCCTTTTGAGAAGAAATAGCTACAACTTAATGCTTGCCCACTGTGTGCCAGGCACTGTTGCAGACACTTAACCAGTTCAATTTCAGCTCACAGTAACTCGATGATACAGATTAGATTTGCCCTTTGTTACTTAGCAAAGGCTTCTGTCATTTACCTTTTAAACATCCCCTGAACTAGACCTTCCTCTTCATTTCCTTCCACCACAATCGTAGACCTGGGCAACTGACTTCTCTCTGGCAGCCTTTTCCCATCTTGCTTCCCATCGTCACCAGTGCCGGTTATGTAACCTGTCACTCTTCAATGGTTTGTCATCTCGTAAAGGATAAAGTCCAAGCCCCTCCTTTTTTGATAGCCTAAAAGCCCCTGCCTTTATCTCCGGGTTTCCAGCTAATTTTAAAAAATTAACTAAATTCCTTACTTTATTCAGATTTTCTTAGTTTGTAACTAATTGTCCCTATTCTGCTCCAGGATTCCATCCAGGATGCCACATGACATTTAGTCATCAAATCTCTTTAGTCTGCTCTTGGCTGTGACATTTTGAGACATTGTTTATTTATGATGGCCTTGGCAGTTTTGAGAAGCACCGGTCAGATATTTTGTAGAATGCCTTCATTTGGGATTTGTCTGATTTTTTCTCATGGTAACACTGAGATATTCTGGGGTGGGAGATCAGAGAGGTAAACTGCCCTTCTTATCACATCATATCAGGAGTACATACTGTCAATATGACTTACCACTATTGATGGTGACCTTGATCATCTGGTTGAGGTAGGATTTGCAAGGTTTTTCCACTGTAAAGCTACTCTTTTCTCCTCCTTTCTGTACTATACTCTTTGGAAGGAAGTCACTTTCCAAGTCACTGTACAGCCCACATTCAAAGTGGGGTGGACTATACATAAAGTATTTGAAATTCTGCACAGGAAATTTGTCTCTTCTCCCCCATTTATTTATTCATCCAATCATTTATTTATATTAGTATGGACTCAGGGATATTTATTTTCTACTTTGTGTGATAATCCAATATAATGTTATTTATTTTGTTCTTCAGCCATTAGGGGTGCTTTGGCCATAACAGGGGCGTAAGCCTGGATTGGGGCTTTCCAGTTGGCTCTTGTGTACCTTTGACATGTCCCACATCTTGTTTGTCTGTTTGTCTTTTGTGTACTTCCTTAGTTTCGGGCATTACAAGATGCTCTATTTTTATCTTGATCCTGTCCCAGTCCCAGAATCAGCCATTTTTGCAAGGGGCTCTGGTTCTTTTTATTGGAGAATAATATTAGAAACCAAGATCTGGGCACTGGATATAACTTTATCTCATTTTAGTTAATCTTAATTTTAATTTAAATAGCTACATGTGGCTAATAGCTATTGTACTGGACAGTATAGCTCTTGATCCTAACGGCCATCATCACAAACATCAAAATACCGGACTCTGTTAATTTAGTTATACGGCACTTACCCAATAATGAAGCAGGAAACAGCAGTCCCCAAGAAGGCATACGCCAGAATAGACCCAAGATTTCTGAAAAAATGTCTCTGAATAAAACAAACAAAAAATAGGAATCACAATGTGATTTTTGACAGTGAGCAAAAGAAACACATTAAAAGTTCTCTAAAAAGTGAAACTCTACTTTATTGCTTTCATCACATCAAATAACTGAAGTTACTCCTGAATAATGCTACTTAGCCTTAAACCTCATAGTTTTAAAATATCCTCTATACTGCCAATCATTGAGCAAGCAAGCAAGGGCTTAGTAAATTTTCAGACAAAACTACTCTGGCTGATTATATTAAATTACATTAAGTGTGTGTGTGTGCGTGTGTGTGAGTATAAGTAGACCAATCATTTTCACAGATATAGTCCGAACCATTTTACTCTGTGATTCAGCTAGTCACTTGTAGTTCTGGTGGTACCTTAGAGGATTATTGTAGATAAAAGCTTAAAACAAAGTGTGAAAGTGCTATCTAAGGAGATTTCTGCTTAATTTGATATCAGAAAACAGAGTCCTAAATACAACTGTCTCTCGGTATCTGTGGGGGATTGGTTCCAGGACCCCCATGGACACCAAACTCCATGAATGCTCAAGTCCCTGATATGAAATGGCGTAGTACTTGCATAGAACCTATGCACATCCTCTCGTATACTTTAAATCATCTCTAGATTACTTATAGTACATTACAATGTAAATGCTATGTAAAGAGTTGTTACACAGTACTGTATAGGAAATAATAACAAGAAACAAAGTCTGTACATATTCAGTATTTTTGATCAGCGGTTGGTTGGATCCACAAATGCAAAACCCAAGGATATGGCAGGCTGACTATATCAGCTCATGGGACCTGAGGTGTCTCCTTACATTCATCTGGACTAATCTGTGGAGCCTGGGAAAGAGGGACAATAGAGATGGATGTGGAGAAATGAGAAACGTGTATTTCCACTTAAGATGGACAAGTTATAGCAATTATTCAGAAAAAGGTGGCAAAACTACAATCCTCTCAATGCTTAAGCATATTCGTTGGTTACCTTAAAAAATATAAACACAAAACACACACAGAGAGAAAGGATTTACTTCTTACAAGTCATTAGGCCTATGGGATATTCTGACAGTGCCTGTTCTTGTAATCCTGAACCATAGTTCTTACTCCTCAAGGCATAAGCTATTCTCATTTGACAATCAGAACTATTTAACAAAAACAAACAAAACCCTCCAAATGCCCAGTCACACAAGGGCCAGGAACATTTTATCTAAAAATTTTTAGAAGGCAGGAGAGCCTCAGCATGCCTGTTGAAGCAACACCAGGGGAAGACAGGAAGAAGAGCCCAGGCAGGATCAGGCAGCCTCCATGAAGCATGCCCAAAGGGCTGCAGGCGTCCTCTGGCCTGCATCCCAGACAGAGGGTCTGAGTCCTTGGCTTTGGCCTTCCCTGGTGCTTGTCCCTCTCCAAGGCTGCCAACAAGGTGTCAAGGAATGCCCAGTGTGCCTAAGCCACTGCTTAGAACAAAACCCTTAGAGGGCTGCCATGCCCACAGTCACCAAAAGAGGGTGCTGTCTGTACACGTCACAGACACATTATGTTTGCCTCTTCAATCACTGGCCAGTCTTTTTCTTAAGATAATGCAGTTATACACCATGTTTTGAAATAGATTATATTTCAAAACAAAAATCAACAACTGTGATCCCACCACCCTTTAAAAGCTCCATCAAGGACTTAAGTTGGGAGTGCTAGGAGTGCACCAATGACAAGGCATGAGAGCAATGATGCTCGAGGTATCCAGGAACAAATTTCAATTCCAGATGTGCTTTCCCTCACCACTCAGCTTTCTTTTGGGTAACCATCCCCATGGTTAGTCTGAATATATATTAGATAAATTCAAATTCATAATATTAGCCAAAGCAAAAAATTAGGAATGTAAATCTGCCACCCAAATACATTCATAATATATTCTAAAATCACAAGCTTACCCATCCTCCATTCATATCTGCTGATGTGAACTGAAATTTTACCACACCTTGAAGAGACATGCCACTTACCTGTGTATCACATCTAGTGCTAAATGTATACTTCATAGCTCATAAAGTACTTTCACATATATTAGACCATCCAATTCTCACAACGAACCCACCCTGAAGGTGTTATCCGGACTATCTCACATGAAGGAAATCTAAGGCTCAAAGGCATGATGTGAGCTGCCTGAAGTCACACGCCCACCAAACTGCAGCCCCAGAACTGGTAAGGCAGTCTCCTGCTGCCAGAGCACTGCGCTGTCACTGCACAAGCTGCCTTGCTAGCCAGCTCCACAATTCCCACCACTTCCCTTGGGGAAACAAAGGACAGCAGGCATCCAGTGAAATCCTAGGTCTTTCATCCTATTCTCATTTGGCCACAATATAGCCATGACTGATTCAAGTCTCCCCTACTCTTCCCTCTCAGTTATAGAATGGCAAGAAGAGACCAAAGGAGCCTATGGCATGCCCCAGTAACGCCTTCCAGAATCTAAACCTAAGAGAGAACAGGGTGAGAAGGTTTGCTTTTGGTGAAAATCCACCTGACATCCCAACTCCTAGCTGTACCATCCTAAGCCTTACACTCCTACTCTTTGGGAAACTCTATCCTCTCCCATTTCCCACTGACAATTTTTAACGTGTGGGGGTGGGGGTGGGGGAGTTCACTAACGAAGGCTTCTGTAGGTGAATTCTTTCCCTGCCAGTGCCCTGTAAGCAAGCCATGAGCACAAAATCAAAGCTAATTCCAATGGTGGTAACTTTTTCCAAGTCATAAAAAAGGCCCACGTCTGCATGATAACTGTATATACACAGGTCAAAGAGTCTGAAGGTTATCTGTTTATATACCATCGGTTACATGGTAAACTATCTATTACACATTTAATGACAACAGGTTTAATCAGAGACGGCAACCATATTAAGAACCAACTATTTAAGTGCCTTTATAAGGACTACTTGAAAAGGAAAGAGACTAAAGCAATAGTCCATCACCTGAAAGACTAGCATTTCAAAAACAACTTAAATTGGGAATTAGCAAGGCTATTACTTGCTTTTTCTTTTGAGAAAACGGGGCTGATAAAGGGAAGGTTCTGCAAAAACTAAGGTGTTTTTCAACCATGAGAGTGGCTTTCACAACCCACAATTTGGTTTCATTTTAAAGCAACTATGACTTTAATTATACATTAAGATTAGTTATTTAAAATACCACCACCCATTTGATCTGAAGAAGAGTTTCCAAACTCTCCATTTAGATAAAGACTAACATTATTATACCTATAATAACCATCTCCTATCTATTAACGTGTCAATAGATGACGTACAGACTCAGAAGATTTTGGCAGCCCTACAGATTAGTCAAGAAAAGGATTCTTTCCCCCAGAAAACCTAAACCCAGAGGCAGTGTAGCACAGAGGAATGACCCTGGGCCCTGGAGTCAAGAGAGGGTGTAACCTTGACTCAGTCCTGCACCATCTACATAACCTCACACGCATCATTAATCATTCTGAGTTCGGTTTCACCATCAGTGAAATGTAGGACACTCTCTACACATTGTGTGAGTGCAGATGTGTGTCGGGCTGGTGTGCAGAAACAGACTCCTGCTCCTCAAGAATCCATTATGGAGAGGTGACCTATACTGCATTCTTCTCCCCTTCTCCTCCTGCCCTGAAGGTGACACAGTCAGGTGGGGTCACCTGATCTCTGAAAGGGGAAACTGGCTTGACCCTGACTTGTAGTCTTGACCCTCTTGTGCAAGGCAGGAAATTGTTCTTGCTCCTCTAGTCTCCATGCTGTGGGCAAAAAGAGGCAGCCTTCGGCAGACCGAGGAATTTCTACGATCTCTCCATTTTGGCCTCCCTACTTGTGACTGTGACTGACCTGGTGGCTAAAGGGCATCTGTCTCCAATTCATGAGGTAGGTTGTAAGGTGTCCCATTACTAAGGGCTATGCTACATACTCCAACATGTATCTACCAGGGACTTTGGATCATAAATTGGTCATTTAATCATGAATTAATTCCTTGTGTCTGCTTATCCATGAACTGGAAACCTAGGGGAGAAGTGCGTATAAACTGATCTCCAACCACCATCACCTCCTTACAGGGTTTCTTGAGGATAAGAAAGAATATGTGTAAAAACAAAAACAAAGAATATATGTAAAGTTCCTAATACACAGCAAATGTTCCATAAACTATAACTATATTTATGTTGGTCAGAAATAGTTTAGGGCCGAGCCCGTGGTGCACTCGGGAGAGTGCGGCGCTGGGAGCGTGCAGCAGCGCTCCCGCCGCGGGTTCGGATCCTATATAGGGATGACCGGTGCGCTCACAGCACTCACTGGCTGAGCGCGGTGCAGCCAGTCTCAAAAAGGACAAAAAAAAAAAAAAGAAAGAAAGAAATAGTTTAAAAACCTTCTGGAAAATGCAGAGTGGCTTTGACAGAAGAACTGTCTGATGGGCAGGCACCCTCTCATAAAATGAGTTGGAAAGTGTTCCCTGATCTATTTTCTGAAAGAATTAGTAGGATTGGTATTATTTCTTCCTTAAATGCTTGATCTAATTCACCAGTGAAGCCATCTGGACTTATGAGAAGGTTGTTCATTATAAACTCAATTTCTTTAATTAATATAGGGCAGTTCAAGTTTTCTGTCTCTTCTCGGGTCAGTTTTGTAATTTGTGTCAAGGAATTTATACATTTCACTTGAGTTGTCAAATTTACTGGCACAAAATTATTCATAGTATTCCCTTATTATTCTTTTAATGTCTGAAGGGTCTATAATGATGTCCTCTCTTTTCAATTTGTTTCTTTCCTCTTTTTTTCTCAATTGATCTAGCTGGAGTTTATCAATTTGAAAGCCATTCTCTAGATCCTAAGGAAGTTGTTGAGTTTCACTGTCAGCCAAGATCTCTCTTTTCTAGACTCACTGAAAAGATTTCCTTTGGTCCTTACTCAGAAAGAGCTGAAACAAGCTCCATGACTGTTATCTGAGGGAGGCCTTTTTGGAGGCTAATTTTCACACAATATCCCCACAACGGGAGAGGGAGGGAGCCACCCACACTATTTGTAAACGTATTATGTATTTTAAATAACTAAAGGCTTAGGTCCAACCTTGCTGTGGAACACAATGACCCTCAATAATAAGAATAGTTAGGTTCTTTAAAACTTTTTATTTTGGAATAATTATAGATTCACAGAAGTTGCAAAGATAATACAGAGATGTCTTGTAATCTCCCAGTTTCCCCATTTGTTATATCTTATGTAACTGTAGTACAATATTTAAACCATGAAACTGACATTGGTACAATGTGTGTGTGTGCATAGTTCGATGTCATTTTACTGCATGTGTCGATCTGCATAACCACCACCACAATCAAGATACAAAACTGTTTCATCACCGCAAAGATGTCCCTTGTGCTACCCCTTGTAGTCACCCCTGCCTCCACCTTGCCACCACCCCTAACCCCTGGCAACTGCTAATTTGCTCTCCATCCCTATAATTTTGTCATATCTAGAATGCTATATAAATGAGATCATATGGTATGTAACCTTTTGAGATTGGATTTTTTTAACTCAGAGTAATTCCTTTGAGATCTATCCAGGTTGCTGTGTGTATCAGTAGTTTGTTCCTTTTTAGTGCTGAGTAGTGCTCCACAGTATGCATGTACCACAGTTTAACCTTTCACCTATTGCAGAACATTTTCATAGTTTCCAGTTTTTGTCTATTTACAAATAAAGTTTGAATGAACAATCAATGTAGGTTTTTGTGTGAACATAAGTTTTCATTTCTCTGGGATAAATTCTCAGGAGTAAAATTGCTAAGTCATATGGAAATTTCAACTTTAGTTTTATAAGGAACTGCCAACTTATTTTCTAGAGTGGCTGTACCACTTTACATCCCACTGGCAAGGTATGAGAGTTCCAGATTTTTTTTTTTTTTGAGACCGGCCGCACCACGCTCAGCCAGTGAGCGCACCGGCCATCCCTATATAGCATCCGAACCCGTGGCGGGAGCGCCGCTGTGCTCCCAGCGCCGCACTCTCCCGAGTGTGCCACAGGCTCAGCCCGAGAGTTCCAGATTTTAAAACAAAAATGAATCACTGATGATGAGTCAACTATAGTCTCAGAGTAGGTACAAAACACAGTAATAAGCAACATTAAGATGGAAAAAACTAGAACATTATGCAGGTAAATTAACACAGAGATTCACATGCTTTAAGAAATACTGACAAAAACCTCTTACCTTTTTTAAACTGTATCCAGCATGGAAAATAATTGGAGGCAGCAGAATGTTGAAAAACACCTCTGGATCAAATGTTACCTAAAAGTTTAAAGAGCAAAAAGTCAATTTTTAGTTTAACACCAACTAACTGGTGTTATAATATTTGCTTAATATTTGAAGCCACTGACTAAAGTTTGAATATTTAGAGCAAGTAACATAAATGTTACTGAACTCATGATGTTCATGAACTCATCCCGAAAGAGAAGCCACAACTCCTGTGTGAACTAGCATGTTCTCTCCACCAAAGCACTCTGATTAACAATCTTGGTGTGCTGTTTTAATACATATTAAGACAAGACAGTTCAATGCAATTTTGAGAACTCACAGATATTAAACTCTGGCCAGTGTTTTTCAACAAAAAATAAAAACATCTTAATTTTTTTTTTTCCTTTTTTTTTTGTCTTTTTTCGTGACCGGTAACGGGATCGCAACCCTCAGTGTCACGCCCGTACCAGGACCGGCAACGGGATCGCAACCCTCGGGATCGCAACCCTTGGTGTCACACCCGCACCGTGCTCAACCAGTGAGCGGACCGGTCTCTATATGGGATCCGAATCCTCGGAGAGAGTGCCGCCGCGCTCCCAAGCACCGCACTCTACCAAGTGCGCCACCGGGCCAGCCCAAAACATCTTAATTTTTATCACACCTTTACAAAGACTCAACTGTAATCAAAGATGCTGTCATGATTCTTAATTAACTTCCTGGATCCTCTCACAGGATCCTGTAGGTTTGATACAGAGAAATCACTCAAACTTTAGGCAGCAAAGTCTTATTGGATCCAGAAAAGAATTAGGCATTCTACAAACATGCTAACCTTTTTAAAGAATTTTTCATGTTGGTAGATTAATTGAATTTTGTTTCAATTAATCAAATCTTCATTCTAATTATTAAATATTAGCTTTTTATTTAGAAATTGGAGATGTTAATCAGCCTATTAGAAATAGAATGGTTCCTCCTAATTATGCTTTATTCATCTTCTTCCTAAAGGGTAGTCTGGAAAGCAGGGAATGTCAGAATGAGAAGGAGCCTTGGACAACGCCTACCAATATGTGGACACTGGGCCCAAAGAGAGTGGGACTTGCCTGAGGTCATCAAACCCAGTAATGTACGAACTAGCACGAGGGTTTTCTGACACCCAGTCCAATGCTTTCCATGTCACCCAAGCTGCCTCAACAAGCCTCTTCTCCCCTCAACTAGCAACAATAATCTCAGCTTTATTTGTTCTCCCACCTTTGCTTTGGGTGGCAGAATTTTAAACAAAAGGGATTTGAATAAACATTTTTCTAAAAATAAGAGAGCAAAAGTCAGCTTCATCTTCTATTATGATCTAAAAGATGAAAATGGGTTGGTATCATTCCCCCTTTCCCCCTTATCCTATCCAACATGAAGAACTCAAACTGCCATTTCAAAATAGCCCTTAGTGCGATATTTACACTGGGTATCCTTCTCAGTTGCACTTAATTTTACGTTTATGGAAATCCCATGCTTTCTTAAGTACTAACAGCAAAGAGCACACTAGCACAGCCATTAGAGACACAGAGAAGATGGTCATGTTTAATGCTTCAGGTCAAGAATAATTTTCCTTAAAGATTAGGGTAGATTCTGAGAACAATAATAATTTAATTTTCAGAGCACACTCTGCACTCTGCCTTTAAATATAAGCCTTCACACACATCAAACGTGTTCTATATTCAAACGGGCTCCCCACAACGTGGACCTCCCAGATCAGTGTAAAGAAGCATTCCTGCTGTAAGCCTTGGTCTCTAAGGTAATGGAATGTATGTCAATTAATACAGATCTCTTGCTTATCCTGGAAATCACCCACATGAGGAGATACATAATCCTTTTCCTTGTAGAGGATTTTTGCTATCTCAACATCAAATGAGAAACAATGCTTGGACTCAAATTCTAGAACAACAAGACCTTCTTCTTCCCCTGAAGATTCATTAAGCCCTTGCTATCAATCACCAATGAGAGTGAGCACTCAAATATTTGCAGAACATGGTAAAAGAACCATGAAGAACTAAGAATTATACTTGTGAATACTGAATAAATAAGCTAAAAGGAAAACTGATCTTATTTTAAGAAAGAAAACAATCTTATTTTAAGGAAGAAACAATCTCATCCCTAAACCAGAGCAAGGATAAGAGGCATAGCAAGGAAGAGATGGTGGTTAGAGACATGGGCTGAGCAGGGACATACAAACCCACCACACAATCAGTGGCCCACATCAGCTATGGATCCCGACAAGCCTGAGCAACAACCATGACAGGACAAGGATGGCTGAGTGTCCCCAGCTCACCTTCCGCAGCATGTCATTCTGCTCTACACTGTTGACTTTGCCAGGGCTGATTTCTCCCTTCAGGGTGTATTCGAAGAACTTCCCACTGACATTCACTAACAAGGTGCTGAAGGCCCTGTCTTCCTGAGTGCAGCTGAGTGACTTGTCACGGCCACTGGTGGCAGGGGTGCCATACCTCAGGATCACCCCAACGATGAGCCCTGAAACAGAGTGGAAAAAACACCATCAGGCCTGGGGAAGGATAAAGAGAGTGTGGAATTAATGGCACAGCTGATTTCCAACAACTAAGAAACACAGAAGTAATCTTAGAAACAAGGTATAGTGTGTGTATTTTAGGAGCAACTGCACAGTCCTTGAGAAGGGTTAAGCATCCATCTATTCTGGTGTGACTTAAGTCCTTCAGCCACCAGGAGGACAAAGTGGCAGAGTACCTTTAGCACCACCATGGCACTCCGAGCACTTTTAACACCTAATCATGTCTCGTTTCTCAGGCTTTTGGTGAAGGAAGATGGGATGATGAGCAGCACAGTTTTTTCTGCCCAGGACAGCACAAAGTGTAACTGCTGAGCTCTCTGCCTTCCCCAGCAGCATCCCTCAAGCCGGTGCTGCTGCCTTCTGCCAGCAAGCACCAGGCCACTGGAATTTCTAGTTGCTATAAATACAACTTACTTTGCCATATACCAGAGGAAGGGGGCGGGGGGGAAGAGATGCTTTGGTTTAGGTCATTTCAAGCACTGGGTATCATGAGAAAGTAATTATACCCCTTGGAAAGCTAAACACTGCAGCTCAATTTGAGCAGTCATGATTCAGGGGCTGCAGAGCTGGCCTTTTGGGGCTGAGGCTATGATACAGCTAAGCTAATCAGCTGAAAGCCTTTAAGCTCATTCCCTTCTTAGTAAGGCTTTTCCAGTAGGGAAAATGAAAGTGGCAAAATTGTGTATAAGCATTCACTTCTGTGAATGAGGACGGAGTGTTGCTCTCCTGGTCCTGAGGAGTCAGATGTTCCCAAGTAAAAGTACCTAAAATGTGAAAAAATAAATCAATAAATCACTACCAGACACTTTCTACAATTCTCTCTTAGGAGGAATATTTCAGACTTCTCTCTAAATTCAGTTCTTTCCTAGCAATATTAAAAAATAGAATCGTAAAATGCTCCCCCATCTCATTTTGCTACTAATGGGTAAAGTGACACGAGAAAAAGAAAGAACAATGCTTACTATGCTCTATGTATATATAATGTTCCATTTCTCTCATCATCAAGACATATGAGAACTCATGAGACATCACTGAACAGCAAATAAGACATTAAATCTAGAAAAATACAGTTGTTTCAGCCAGAATCTGTGTCTGTATTGCATTATCATCATCCTTATTATAGACCTGTATTAACAGATACTTGCAGTTCATTGACTTTTGTGAAAAAATCAAGTTGTAAAGTTTTATTACAAATTAAAAATAAGGTTCTTAATAATCTCAACCTGATCAGATATGAAATAATTTTAAAATCACTAAAAGTATATGAGAAAAACCAAACGTTTTTTAAAAACATGTTTGTCATTACCAAAAAAAGATGTCTTTAGGGAAAAATAATAAAAAGCCCCATAATGCATATGGTTCTAGTTGTCTGGTGAATGGGCAAAAAACAGGCACTTAAGGTCTTCAGTGCCAATCTTTTGTTCAGGTCTTATTGCTGGAATTCACATTCAGTTCTTCCTGTTGATGACAACCTGGATGGCAGTAGAGATGGTCAGCTGGCATCTGCTCAGCCCTGCCCTGCTCAGCTTCGGGAGCAGGCTTCTCACAGCTGGCAGTCTCTTTGCTACCTTGCAGGGTGGTGTTTTCTGGGTGTCTGTGCTGGTAACTGAGGTTGTGGGGTACCTACACTGAAGTGGCTGCTGGCCTTGGCATCTCCTTGACTTTCCAGCTCCTCTTCATTGCTGTCCTAGGTGACAAAGGGCCCTAGAGACTCATGGCCTACAACCCCGACACATAACCTGTCTCACAGCTCTACCTGTTCTCTGTCACTTCTCCCTGCACAGAAGGGGCGGGCCACTCTCATCAACCCCCACCGGCTCCTGCACTGAGTGAAGCAGGAGGCATCGCCCATGTGTTGGGACTGCCAATCAGGGGCGCCCTAGGGTCCCTCCTCCTTTTTGCCTGTCTCCTTATTCTGGTGATTCTGCTGGTGACCATGCAGAAGACCCCCGTGGTGCAGATAATATCGCGAATGGTTACAGCCTGCCACATATGCGCTGCCTGGCACCGAAACTCGGCCAGGGCCGCAACCTGTACCGCCGGGGCACCCTTTTCTCCTTCCACAACATCAAACTCCCTAGATTCTCTGTCCCCTGTCCTGTGAAGGTGCTTCCTGGGGGTTACTCTTCTTTACGGCAGTCAGGGGTACAAATACATCTTGCTTGCTGTTACTCCCGTGGATAAAACCCTATCTGTTTCTTACACTGAAACATTTTACTGCTCCCAAACTTTCACTGCGATGACTTTCTTGTCCCCATCACTGGGCCACCACTCCCTCTGCCTCTGCCCATGGTACCACACTGGGTGTCTCAGCCTCGCTGCTCAAGGTTGCAGTCACGGTGATGGTAACAGCTGCAGCAGCGGTGCCTCCCCCCTTTGTGGGAGGAGAATGAGTCCACTGGTGGCACTGGGGCTGCTCAGTGCTCTCTGGGGTTCACTCTCCACTCCAGATGGAACTCTGTAATGCCTTTTCTTCTTATGTCACTCCCTGGTTAGGCAGTTATTTTCTGATGAAGCTTTACACGACAAAGACAATTCCATGGTCCATCAACCCTCTTCACAATACAGGATCATCTGTAGAGTCTGGAAAAAGCTACCTGTCACTCGATTTAACTTTGTCTTTATTAGGAAACCAAAATAAGTCATTTACAAAGACTATCTTTCTGCCAAATCAAAACCTGCTTCATGTAACTTACTGTTTCCTGACTTTACTAACCTCATTATTAGCAGAGCTAACGGAAAGACTAAACCATGCTAGCACAGAGTCCTCACAATTACTACTCTAACAAAAGAGGAGGTTTACATTTGCAGACAAATTCCTCAATTAAAGGAAATACTCTTGACTCTCCCAGTAATCATCGCCATCATCTCTAGAATCATTATCAGATGACAAATATTGTTTTTTAAAGTTACAAAACATCTCCCTCTCTATCCTGGGCCCAATGTGCCCATATTAAAGATGGAAGGGAGACAGTGAAGGTGATGATACTGCCCCCTTGTTGTTAAAATATGGCAACACAAAACACCACAGCAAAGATACAAGGTTAACATGGTTCCAATAGTTTTGATCAAAAATGTACCAAGCCCCGGGGTAGACTGCTAATTCAAGGTAAAATTTGAGTAACTTCCCAAACATTTTAAACTCATATTTATTGCCACTGTACTCCATGTCATGATATTATGTTCACATTTGGAGTTTCCACTTGAAAAAATAGGCTATTAAGCTGCAGAGGCACATTTTGGTGAGGAAACAATAAAGACTTGGAGAAAACATACTTTCATCTGCTGGATCTGGAAGACATCCCCTGACAGGGAACCATAAAGAGGTCACAACTACAAGGACTTAAAACACATTAGACTTTTTTAAAAGCTCAGAAAGTTATATATTCACACAAAAAAGTCTGAGAGCAACAGAGGCACTGAGAATTTGACCAGATCAACAGCACAGTGTTCCAGATGACAAAGACAGATAACCTACTATGTATGTGGGCCAGAAAAATACCATATAAGATGTCAGCTAATGAAGAGAGAATCACTGATTTCACAGGTATATGATTAGGAAATAATTTAGTTTTGAACTTTCACAGAAAGGAATATACATAAAATTCCTTTGACATTTGACATGGCTTAAAACAAGATGGTGAACTCTAAAGGTGTAAAAATTTAAGACTATTTCAACTTGTGGGTATGAATAAAACTCACTTCACAACTGTATTAGCATATTGTGCTGATGGTATACAGTTGACAACTTTTCTAACTAAAAAAAAAAGGCATAAAGCACACCTAGGGTCCTAGGAAGAAGCCAAGGGTAGCCCCCTCTGTCCAGAAGCAGGCAAGAAACAAAGCACGCCCGGGGTCCTAGGCAGGAGCTGAGGGAAGCACCCTCCGCCTGGAAGCAGGTAAGAGAGCAACTTCAAAAACACCACTACCACGCTGGTGGTCCATCACAGCCACCACCACAGCCAAACACCACTCCCACCACTCCACCGCCATAGCCATGGCTGCTGCAAAAGTGGCTCAACACCACAGCCTACATGCAGGTGCCCTGCCACACACCTGACTGCACTGACACAAGGAGTGTCATCAGGAGAGAACAGAGAAAGAGGAGGATGCCTCTCTCCTCAAAGCCCACTCCAGAGTAATAGAAGCAACTGCTCTACCAGATGGTTAAACATCAATGTAGAAGACACTAGAAATATGAAAACCCAAGAAAATACAATACCACCACAAGAGTACAGTAATTCTCAAATACCAGACCCTAGTAGAGCAGGAACCCCTTGAAATGACTGAAAAGGAATTCTGAGCAACAATCATAGGGAAACTCACTGAAATACAAGAAGACTCAGACAAGATAATGAAACAGGAAAAAAAATCCAGGATATGAAGGGGGAAACTTAGAGATTAATATCTTTAAAAAGAATGTAGCAGAACTCATGGAACTGGAAGATTCACTTAACTAAATAAAAAACACAACCAAGAGCTTAAGTGGCAGGCTAGAACAAGCAGAAGAAAGAATTTCTGATCTTGAAATAGTCTTCTCAAAATAACCCAGGCAGATTTTAAAAAGGGGGGGGGGAAGAATTTTTAAAAATGAAGAAAATCTAAGAGAGCTAGCAGACAACCTTAAGTTCACAAATGTTTGAATAATGAGTGTTCCAGAAGAGGAGGAGAAAGAAAAAGGCATGGAAAACCTATTCAAAGAAATAATAATGGAAAACTCCTCAGGTATAGGGAGAGACACAGACCTTCAGATCCAGGAGGCTCAAAGATCCCCAAACAGATTCAACCCAAAAAGGTCCTCTCTGAGACACATTATAGTCAAACTGGCAAAGCTCAAAGACAAAGAGAGAATCTTAAACAAAGCAAGAGAAAAGCATCAAGTCACCTATCAGGGATCCCCTTTCGGACTAACAGTAGACTTCTCAACAGAAACTCAACAGGCCAG